CCCCCCCTCCCTGCGCCCCGCTCAACTTTGCCCATTCAAATTCAGCGTTCTTGCACTCTCGGATACCACCTACGGCCTTGTGAAAATTTTGGCAGGTAAACTATTAACTCGGGAATCACGGAAAAATATTCATCCTTCAAGGATTCGAATTCAGCTTTCATGCGCTAGTGCACGAAATTTTTAACTGTTTTCCAGTGTTTGACCTATTTTTGCATAGACAAAAGTGCAAAGCAGTGAAAATCATTAATAGGGCTGAATTGCACAAAACGCATGATCGCACTGGCTAGTCTGGTGCGCGTTGCTATTTATTTGTAGTGTGACTAAATTGCTGAAGTTAAAAATTAGTAAAGTTAAGGGCAGATAATAATATAGAGTGAGCATTAGTTAATTTTATTTAACGGAAAAGCGAGAAGTTTTTAATTCAAAAAATAATGGTTTTTTTTCGAAAAAAATGTGATAATTGTGAGAGAAAAAAAATTGGTTGAGCGCATCTTGGCTGGCGTGAAAAAAAATTTTTTTTTTCGATTTGATAATTACTGGCTTTTTAATTTGTAAATTCTTCGAAGAAATTCACCCGTGTAAATTAATGCTCGATTTTTTCAGGTTAAGAATTTTGGGAACCGATATTACCAGGATTGCACAGGAATGTGGCTATGAAAAGGATGCGCTATCAAGTGAAGATACGTGTAAGTTCATTGCTAAATGATTCTCATATTGATCATTAATTGCTGAATAATTCCTCTTTGGATCACTTAAAGAGGATGGGGAGAGGGGGGCGGGGGAAGGAGAGGGGGATTTAGCATTTCATTAGTGCATCATTGCGAGCATATATGAATTTCATGTGTTAGGATAGAAAACAAAATTGACAATCTTGCCAACGAGTGGTCGCTGCTAACATTTGCTACCACTCGGGATACTTTCCAGATGTTTCATACTCTGATTGAGAGCCAATAAGGGGAACGGGGAGGGGGAGGGGGAATGGGGGAGGGAGTTGACCTTTTTTTGAAATTAATAAGTTATATTTTGGCCTCATGGGCTATAGATATTGCCAACAAGGCGTTACCTGTAATTTCTCACATTCTTAAACAAATTACAATTGAAAATTGTATTAATAAGGGATGAAATAAGAGGAATGAAAAAAGAAAATAGGGAATGAGAACTGAAAGATTTGCAGAATTAGTAGAATCATTATAATAAAATCACTATAATTATTTAAATTATTTTTAATTATGATAAGAATTATAATTATTATAATGGTAAGAAATGTTTCGGTCCATTAAATTTATGCATTTGCAACGGGCTGAGTAATTTATAAATTTTCATTACAGTTTGGTCAGTGGGTGGATCACAGCGTGCTGGCACACTATCAGTGCTCTCCGATGATTCATTCTTATCCGCTTTTGAAGAACTCGTAAGATTTTTTTTACCAATTTATAAATTCTAACCCCATTTATTATTCATAATTCATGTACTTTTAAAAATTTTTTTTCCGTTTTTGTCTTTTTTTGTACTTTTGCGCTAAAACAGCTAAAAGGGTAATATTTCTGTAATTTTTGTTTAGAAAAAACGAGTAATTTGGCGTAAATTATAACAAAACGTAAAAGTTGTTAGTTGCCATTAGCTTATAACTATACCTCGGTAATATTGAGAGCGTTACATTGATAGTATAGATGTTCTTATCGGTTTTTTTTTTTTTTTGAAATTCTTTTTTCAGCCAGTGAATGTGGATGATGTTGATGTTCTAATGCGTGAACCGTTAAATTTGAACAAGGAAGCACTGCTTTTTTATCAGGAAGGTGTTAAAGCTGCAACAGCCGATGAAGTGAAATGTCGAAAATGCAGGTGCTTTTTTTTAAGATTTTTTTTTACAGAAATTTTTCTGTCAACGCCTAATCGATAAGGTACCTACCTCATCGTGAGCGAAAAACTGCCAAATGTACAAAAGATA